TCTGTTTCAAGAAGCTGAGCAACAGTTCTGAAATTGTAGGCATAAATATTAGATTTCACATTTTAAAATACATATGAAAAATAATACTGTATGCCTCTAAGTATCGTACTGTAGTATGTATACCAATTACAGCCTTACTTTTTATCAAAGTTTATTTTCATAATATAGACCTTCAACAGCGAGATGCACCCAGACCCAACTGAAACTTTTCATGACATTTAATAATGTTGAAAACAGGAATTAAGAAGAAAAATGAATCAGATAAAAAGTTGAAGTTGTGTGGGTGACAAGTGAGAAAAAAAGTAAATAGTACAATTGGAATAGGCATAAGATCTCAAAGTCGTACAACAATATAAATGTGGGAATCTTAGCAACAGGAAATAAATTTTAAAAAAAAATTTTTATTTAAAAATAATTTTAATTTTACTAAAAATCATTTGTCCCCAATTAGTGAATAATCTTTATCGTGGCTGTTTGACCAAAAAAATCTATACAACTTTTGTTACGATTCAACCAGACTGTTTAATTTAAATGAAGTTTTCTTTAAACTTTACAAAACAACTTAACTTACTTTTCATTCTGTTGCTTCAGCGATTCATTCAGTCTTTTAAGGGTCTCAAGTTGTTTATTCAGTGAATTACACATTCCTTGCAGATTGTTATATTGCTTTTCAATAGTTTCATGCCTAAAATTTTCAAATTAGTACTATTAAAAGGAATGAATGCTATGCTGTTTTCATAATGTACTGTAATATTTGATAACATATATTAGAATGTGGGGTCCTTGGTGCTCTCTGAGTTTGGTGGTTTTCTTGCAAATGTTTCATTACCAACTAGATAATATCATCAGTGCAATGAAATCTTTAGCACTTTAAATTCAACTTGCAGCACTGAAACATATTCCATGAGGAATTCTGATAAGAATACACATTTTTTTAAAAAAATTCTCACCAATTAATTAATATTTCTCACCAATTAATCAACAAATTATTAATTTTCTATGCAACTTTCTGTGGAATATAAGTATGATTTTTGAACAATTAGAAGCAATAAAAAATAAACTTATTTTCTAACAATAAAAGAGTCAACAGAACTTGATCTATCAACAAGAAATAAGTAACATCTGCAGTTAATTTTTACTTATACTTTTATTTCTAGGAATTCTGTTTTAAGATCTACAAATATTCACCAAGATACTTAAGATGTTCTTTACATTGCTTCAATCAGGCATTTTCTCTCTTAGAGTTTTGTTCGTTCTTTGGGTTTTTTTATTTTGGGGCAGAGGTTTTTGCAAACCTTGCAGTTTCTGTTGCTTCTATTTCTATCACTTTGCCTTACCTATTACAGGGTATGATAAAAAAGTTCCCATAGCTAAGCAACAGTAGAAAAAATAACTGATAAGATTAAATACTAAGACCTAATTTTGCAGTTTGCTAGCCAAACTTGATTGTACTTTTCATAAATAAGTAATCTGATCTTATGAGATAACTTTCTTTCTCATACCTATGTACAGTAGTGGCCAAAATTGTAGAAACGTTTCGGGAAAAGTGTACATTTGAGGTTTGATGACTAATAACACGTGTTCTGGAGTAGTACCATAAAATTATATAGCAATGGAAAGTTAATTTAATCAAGAATGTAATGCAACAAAATTTGTTCAATTATCTGTATTGTATGAAAAGTTATAGCCAAATAACCAGAAAAAGGAAGCACAACTTGCTTAGGTTGTTATCAGGTAGTTTTCCTTCATCTGATTGTAGCCAATGAGCATGAGCGTTTAGAGAGCCAATCAGGTGTTCTCTTGTTTTGGCAATGAGCCAATCAGATCACAGTAAGATTCAGATATTGATGTCACGTATTGAAGCTGAGAAGAGGACATTTGTCAGTGTGTTATGTGATCGCTATCAAGTTGGTTGGGTTTTTTTGTGTTCTTTCATTTAATGAGCTTGTAAAACGTAATAAAATTAAAGTAATGGTGCAAAGAGTTGACTGGTCGCCCAGAAAGCGAAGGTTACAATTATAAAGAAATTAGAAGAAAAATTGGTGGAAACTTAACCAAAGGTGGCATTTCTAAGTTTTTGAAGAGGTATAAGGAGACCTAGTCACTACAAAACCACACTCGTAAAGGCAGGAAAAGGTGCACAACAGCAAGTGATGATAGAAGAATTAAGAGACTGTGCCTACGTGACAGAAGAAAATCATCTGGGCGTATACAAGATGAAATGGCACAATGCAATATGAAGTTGAGTGCAAGGACTGTTCGGCGCAACTACAGGAATTTGGCCTAAAATCTAGAATTCCACGAAAAAAGCCAGTTTTATCTCTCAAACAAAGGTTGAAAAGACTAAACTGGGCTAAAACCCATGTTACCTGGACAGAGGAACAATGGGGCAGTGTTATTTGGAGTGATGAGACCAAGATTTCCCTGTTTGGTAGTGATGGCATATTTATTTATTTTATTTATTTATTAATTACATTTATATCCCGCCCTTCTCCTTGCGGACTCAGGGCGGCTGACAATTGGATAAAATACTAACATATTATACACCTAATTAAAATTTGATTAAAAAGAAATATTTAAATTTGTCAGATTAAAAGTAATTAAAACCCCTTTAAAATCCCTTAGGCCAGTCCCGCAAGCTG